TTTAAATTAAATAAATATTTATTGAATTATAATAAAAAATATTAGTCCAAAGACTTTTGCACCATACTGTATATAAAGAAAAAATAATTATTTATTTTAACTATTATTAAAAAAATTATCTTAATAATCAAAATTAAAGTTTTTTATAATTATATATAAATATATTTATTTCTTATTATTAGTAATTAATTAAATTCTTTAATTTTTATTAAAGTAATTATATCAAATATTAAAAATACTTATAAAAAAATATTTTTTGTAATTTTATATTTAACAATTTTTAATTAAAAAAAATATTAGTTTTTAATTATTGATTTTTTTCTTAAGTTATATTTTTTTAAAATTTTTTTTAAAAAATATTATCATTAGTTCAAATTCACTTGTAATTTAATAAATATTATTAAAATATTACATGATACAAAAGTTTTTTTCGTATTATAACAAAGCATAGTTTGATTAATGACAATATATTGTAAAAAAAAATGATATAAAAATATAAAATTATATAAAAATATATAATTGATAACACGTGTTCTTCTAAATGATACTAATGCAAGGATTGAAACAAGAATAAATAATGAAATTTCAAATATAGAATATTATAATTTTATAAATCTAAATATAACATAGGATCGATTTTAATTAATAATATACAGTATACAAGGTCATATTTTTAAAACTTACTTCCAAAAGTTTTGCACCATACTGTATCTAAAAATGACAAATATCGATAAAGAGATTAATTAATGTAATTTATTTGTTTTTACACCTTTTTAATAATATTGTTGATATTTTGAGATCTTAGAATATCATATAATTACTAAGCAAGAAAATAAAATTTATTAAATCTTATTCGTTTAATTAACCATTAGTTGATCGCAACCAAGACTCGTGTTGATGATATATCGATCTCATACATAGGCTGTATCGAATATAATATAGATGGATAGACGAAACTCGACTTTTTTGAGGTGGTTTCAAATATTCTATGCTCGTATATTGGTGATGTAATTATTTTGCATTTATTCTTTTGATTTCTAAGAAAGGTGTTTTCCCAAATCAGCATTCATTATTAGAACAAGAATGAAGGTGAATGTCATATGAACTCGATATTAAAAAAAAGGAGAGAACAAATACTATTTACAAAATCGGAAATTCATTCCCTATCCTCCTGATTCAGTTTTAAGGGTTTGAATGTCACATACGGAAGGTATACAGTAATCACAGTAATCACAGAGTCAAATATACCGCTATACTTTTTTTGTGTGGAGTGTCAATACTAATGATTCATTCATAGAGATATATGGAAAAACTTGCACTCTTTTTGTACTGATTCTCCCAAAAATTAATGACAAAAACGTCTTTTTTTCGACAAAGATTTGTTGATCAATTATTATTAATTGTTACATATTTTTTATTATGCAGTAATTGTAATCCTAAAAAGATTAGTATTTTTTCCATGATTATCAAGACAAAAGAATGCAGTCCTACATAATTTACAAAAGATGTGTCGTAACCATTAGGACCAATCGTCTTCTAAGAGAATTAGTCACGGGATCTGACGAAAACGAGAGGATAGTATCGTGCCTCTTTAGAGATTCTATCTACCACAATGTTGTTTCGAAGTCCATGATTCACGCCGAGAAAGCAAAAGTTATTATGATGCACATCGATATGACAATTTAAAGGCATGATTGTATGTTTAAAAGTCAGAGAAAACAAACGAATGTTAGACGTAAAGATCTTTGGTTGACACATATGCCAAGTCTAGATGTTAAAGTCGAATACAAGACGGAGCGACTTCTCGTTATTCATGATACCTTTCTATTTTGATAATTTTTTATTTGATTGGAAAAATCTACACTAAAATGGGAAAATTCGTTCGAGAGGGATCTATGGAAAAACTAGAATTAAAAAGAAGTCAATAATAAAAGCATTTTTTTTTTTTTTTAAAGAAATGACATTTTATTTTTTCACTTGAAAGTTTTCAATAAATTTCAATATATAACATTTTCTAGAGTAAAGGAAAATCCTCTGTCAACCTCAACCCGAATCTTTAAATTTCTTGAATTAAATAAAAATGCATTCCTTTTGAGTATTTTTGTGCTAAAGGTGTTCGCCAAAATATAAATACAAATTATGGAGGGAAGAAAAAAAAATAAAAGAAAAAAGAATACATGAGTCATCCGGATATTGCCAAAGATTTAGAAATTATTCTTGCTAATTTCCGCCGTAAGGATAACCTTGAGATGGCGCGCGTTCAAGATGCTGTGGATTTCCTTGTTGATTGAACTGATGTTCATAGGATTGTGGTGGATATGACGATGTGTTCTGTGGTGGGTATTGTTGTGGTGGATATGGCGATGTGTTCTGTGGTGGGTATTGTTGTGATAGATATGGCGATGTGTTCTGTGGGTTGTTATATTGTACTTGTGGATATGTTATATTTGAAGAGTAATCATAATATTGTTGTTGGTTTCCAATGTCATCTGTGTCGACTGATTCTCCTTCATAATATTCACCCTCATAATGAGATAATAATTGGCGTTTCTGGTCATCTTCGCCGCTCACAACTTGATGCGTCAAATGCGCTGGGACATGCATCGTGTTTTGCATCCTTTGGCGTTCCTGATGTTTGATCTTTCGGAGTCGCGAACGTTCCCAATCTTCCCAACGTTTCAACGGAACCTTGGAGGCATCAAAGGTACCCTCTTTTTTACCATGATCGTCACCTTTGGCTTCGCCTTCTACTTTTCGGGTCTCACCCCACGAGAAGTCGTCGAAATGCCAGTAGGCATATGTTGGCAAGATAAAATTCCATACGAACAAAGCCAAAAGGTAGATAACCATCCAGGCGATGTAGACCAATTTCCTAGTGGTGATAAGGATCAACAGTGCCGGTAGTCCAAGAACCATTACCAACATCATCAACGGAATAGCATCGGAGAGATTTTTTGGTGGGTGTAGACACATGGAAACAATCAATGTGTAAGTAAGAATGATGGCAACGGGAAGTACCACAGTACCAATCAACTCCATGAAGATGACAAATTGCATGGAAAAACAGAAGGTTCCACAAAGATTTCGAACAAGAACAAGTTCCATGAGGTTGTGGATGGTAGAGTTGATCCAACGACGACGCTGAGAGAGTAAAACCCGGAAGTTATCGGGGACCACGGTTTTACAGATGGCTTGCGGGCAGAACATCATTTTACGGTGCGGGAAATTACGTAACATGAGTGTTGTCAAAAAACGATCTTCACCAAGGAGCAACAGATTTTTCTGATGGAGTGTTTCGACAACGTTTTGAGAATACTCTTGAACGATCTCAGGTTTTGTAATAATTGGTACCCAATCGTTATTTCCCTTGCGTGCTTTGAGACGATACATACAGAAGCAACCGGGTAAGCAGGTGACACCACCAAACACGGACTCAAAACCTTTACCCAGATGATGGGAAATGTAATATTCGAAAACTTGAATGGCAGTCACCCAAGAGTCTCGTTTGTTTGCAATCTTGGTTTCACCACAGAGACCCATGATGAGAGGATCGTTGCACATGCAGTTGATTAATAATCTTAAGGAATTAGGATAAACCTTTGTGTCAGCGTCCACCTGGTCATCAGAATTTATGTTAATACACACATTTAACCTAGACGTATGAATGGATGCATGATTGACACGTCATTTACCATCAATACGATTTCAAAAAAGTCCGGGGTGACACCCATCAAGCGATGAATCTTTTTGAATAGGTCATAATCCAAGGCGCACATTCGGTCGTTATAGGTGACTCGACTGAAGAAGTTCATCAAAATTAATTGTGAATCGCGTTTTCCTCGATTACCGGGTTTTGCTTTTCCCTCTTCGCCTGGATTACCACATTTGACGACGCAGATCATGGGAACGCGACGTTCGTTCCAGCCTAATTGTGGACGACAGATACGCGTGAATTTAGACGAAATCGTAATAAAGAAAAAATTCATGTACAGGAGGAGCCTTTCTTCTACTTACGAAAATGTCCAGCGTAGACTTTGGCCATGTTGTGTTGCTTAGTTCCCGAGGCCACAGCGATGTAACTTTGTGGTTTGGGATTCTCGAACTCGGGTTCTATCGATTGGGAAACACGTGAGATATTGACCAAAGATTCTTTGAGGGAAGAAAAGCAACCTACCAATTTCCATGAGATCAACACAAATATCCGGAGTGCTCTTATCATTGCCACTGCCAACTATGATACCGTCGCAAATGAGGAACAACAATTTACGATCATCGGGGTAGGCAGTGGAAGCCATCGATTCACAAGTGCACCTGATGCCAGCCTCGTCCTCAGAGTAACAAGTGACGAGCAAGACGGTGAACAAATCGTTCCCAACCTCATCCATACTCATTACCTTGGAAACACCGTCACCGCCACTCCAAGGTTGATTAGAACCGATAAATTCTTGACCCGAGGGACCTCTCTTTTTGGGAGTGTGAGCAAGACGATGGGAGATGAACCAATCGAATACGCAAGCCATCGCAAACCGACACAAGACCACTCCCAGAATAACAGTCAGTGAAACATATAAGAAGAGTTGAGAGGTGAAACATCCGATTGTTTGCTTGTCAATGTTTCCGGCGTAATATTTGTTAACAAGACAATTGACACCAAGCTTCAAATTCTCTCTGCCAAAGAACAGGCGAGTGGCATCCTTTCCACCATTGGTGTTGCCGGTGGACAAAACTTTGCGAATGACAATGTCCATGGTGTCGTTGAGTATTGGGTTTGGATACGTTTTAATGTATGGATCAAGATTGAGCACGTTTCCGTCGATAACCAAGTAATTTGTTAGGTTGATTAGTTGACTCCAATCATATCCGACCCTTTTCGTGGTGTTGAAAATATTGTATTGCTTAATATTGGCAGTGCTAATTGGACCAAGGATACAAGAAGAATTTTGGCAAGTTGGCATTGAGACGGCTTTGAAACTTGATAACGATGGAAGTTGGCAACTTGGTATTTCGCTGTTGTTTCGGAAAAAGAAATTGGTTATATCCGATCCACTTTTTTTCTGTGCGAAAGCTAAAAAGTTAAAATTGGGGGGATTCGCTGCGTTTGTTACGTTGAATTGCCATCCCAGGATACCGACATGGCCTAATTTTTGAATAAGGATATTTAGACGAACGTACATTACATACAATATCGGTCAGATAATCCCAAAGAACACATTGAAATTTACCTGATGAATCTCCGAACCTCAAGAATTTATCGGGATTATTAGATTGAGAAGGGGGACACAGTACAGCAGTGAAACCAACGGTCAAGAAGGCGACAATGCCGCTCATAACAAGTGCAATAAAGCACAAAGTAATTTTTTCACGCCAGGCTTGTCGTGATTGTTTATCCGGGAGGCCGAACACGGATGATAAAAGTGTTCCGGGCGCCCAAAAAGTGATAAATCTAGAAAAAAACACCCATAAATCAAAAGAATCTTTTTTATTACCAGGCAACATAGGAGTTGTTGCCTGATATCTTTCAGGCCTGCTGAGAGTTCTGCCACGGCTGAGCGAGCTCATCTGGGCGCCGTAGCCAGCTTCCATGGTGAATTATTATTATTATTATTTATGATGTTAGGATTACAACGGTGGTGTGTGTGGTGTTATATTTTGGGAATGGTATCAGATAAATTTCTTTGTATTTGCACGGAGGATTATAGAAAAAAAAAAGACAGAAAGTAGTAAAACTTGGAAGGGTGAAGGAAAAGAACGAAAGATTAGGATTGGTTAGGGGAAAGGGGGGAGGGGAAAAAGGGAGGGGATTTGAAAGGAGAGTTGAGGTTTTAGAGGGGAAGAAGTGAATTATCAAAGGGTATATGAAACGAAATCTAATTTTAAATTACATGATTCATTGTAAGACCATGCTAATTAAATGCACTGTTTTTGGAAAGGGTAAGGTAAATTGACATAAGGGGAAACACATACATAGTTATGTTTCAACAACTGTATAATTTGTTACTCTTAACGAGACAATAGAATGTGAGTGTGTGATATGAATTTATCACTTGTTGTTCCAAGAATCACCGTAAAAAAAAAAAAAAAAAAGCATTCATCAAACTTTGCTGTTTTGTGAAAGCTCACATCGACTTTTTTGGTAGAATGTTTGTTCAACGTAATAATTGGTTTATAATACGTAATGAGAAAAACAAACAACACGCATACAGTCACCCTCCTCTATAATCACCGTGTCACGGGACCTTACAATAACATCGAGAAAGAAGATGATTTACAGAGTGCGATGATAGACGCAAGTTTATAACCGGGGTATTGATATTAAAAAGCTTCCGGAACCCGGTATCGTAATTCGTTAAGATATACACAATGTGAACCATCGAGGCTAGCGCAAAATAAACCACACACATTTGATACGGATCATCGCAACATACATAACATTTAATTGTTAAATCCTTCATATAATTAAGACATACAATCTATTTATAAAGGAATTGTGAATAATAATAAAAAAAGGAAAGGCGCACGCACTCATGAGAATATTTGAAAAGAGAAAAAATCGACCATCGTAGAAATCCCACACATCACTTTGTTTACTTTCACTCATCCGGATGAACATAAATTAATCAAGATCTCCTCGTACATTTCCAAAAACATCGGATATCTTTTATGATTCTTCAGTAGGTTGTTGTACGCATCCGTCTTTATTATTTGACTGAAATTACCAATTATGTATCTCTTCAATTTATTCTTCATCTTCGGTAACATCCAAGAATAGCCAAAGTACAATTCCGCCGCATTGTAAATATTCACATCATCCAACATTCTAAACAAGGGAGCTTCAAGCGCCGGAATTTGAAATTGATTTGATAAAAGGAGTATTTCCTCCATATGTTCCGGTCGAACACTGGTCGTAATATTACCAGTGTAGGCAATTTGAACCATACATAAAATTGAATTATAACTAAACCTTTCGTCTATGTCAATTTCTTGGTAGATGTGACGAAACGGTCCTTTTGATTCCCGACCTTTTTCGTCAGTAAGACCCGATCGACTGCCCTGGTCTTGTTTTTCAAAACTGTCTATCAAATACGGTGAGAGTTTTGAGAGGATTTTGCTACTCGCAAAAAGAGGATGATTCTGAACCTTGAATTTAACGTCCAATGCTGGTCCTAATACTACATCAATTTGATCCGATAATTCCTCAGTAATCGTGTAATCTTTAGAGAGAGGCTCGATATATTTCATCATGTTCATCAGGTTGACCTTATCGACCCTGGGGTCAAATTTGGTCGAGACCATTTCAATCCCAACCACTACGATGCCGCAGAGAGACGACCTGCTGAATATCTTGACGAGGGCTGCAAAATTGAGCTTTGTTAACACATATGGTAATAATGATTATTGCCTGTAAGCATACCATTTACATTTCGTTCAGGCGCAATATCGTTTCCATCCAGGTCTTTGACAGTTATACGAAAAAAGCGACGAAGTTTTATGAAGCTGTCTACAATGTCTGGGTCTTCCGCACCATCTAGTGCTTCGATATAAATGGTACACTCCGATTCTTTCTATTTTCGATAGAAGCAACGAACCGAAAATCCTTTAAAATTCTACAGGACAGATTGGTTTTCCAAGTAGATTATGTTATCAATTTACCGGCCTAATCACCAGTTGCCAATACCGATATCGATCATTCAAAGTTTCCTTCGCAAATGGTGGGCTACAGACAATTCTACTAAATTTATCAACGTCCGTTAACTCTAACTCGAGATATGAAACCTTTCTAGAAGCCATTTCTTTATCGGTTTCTTCTTGGAATTTTCGTGAATACACAAATGCACAAATAAGAGGTAATTGGTGTATCACCACTATTTAAATAAGTGCATGTGACTAAAAATTCCATTGTCGATCTTTAATTCTCTATTGCAAGGATAAACCTTACTGCGCCTTATGTGCTACAATTCTCCATTAGATTTGGAATATTTCTCGCTGTGTATTCGTCATACGACGTAACCGTCAATAGAATTTCAACAATGGAATTCTAACGGTTTCAGAATTTGGCTTTGTAATGTGTCATTGGAAAACGATTTTGGTTTCAATAATTGTTTTCTAAACATATTTCCAATTCCCCGTTTTTAATATTTATCTCAATGGATGTCAAATTCAAATTATTGTAAAAACAATTTGAAACCGAAAAAGTTTTAAGTCAACGTATGACATATTTTTGTTTATTTTCGTATGTCATCACAGTAATTTTTTTATACCATGAGATCATATCAGTACGTATTACAATATACTGTAAAATATTGTATATGCTTTCAAAATCTTTATTTTATTAGAAAATATTACAATAAAAAATGTATAGTGTAGGTATCTCATTATAATATTTTATAAAATTGTTAACTTGATTAACAAAAGTAATTTTAAAAAGACTCTTGAATTATCAAAATAAGCAATTGATTAAATATGTTTGAATAATTTTTTAACAAATCATTCTATTTAAAAAATGAAAATCATGATAATATTCAAATTAAATAAAATATTACATTTATTACTTAAATACAGTATTAATAAATTTAATTTATTGTAATTTAATTTATACATTATAACAAAATCAATTTTTATTTAAAAATAAATTTGTTTGTTTTTATTTGTTTTTAACAAACATTTATTATAAGATATATTAGTTAAAAATAAATTATTTCATATAAAATTGCTTATCAATTATTTGATAAGTAGAAATAACATAATTATATTATTCCCACTTAGTTTAGGTTATTTCCACTCAGGTATGTGGCATGATAACAGAAATAGGCCACTGTTGTCAATAGCATGATATAGTTTTTAGGTCATATTTTTGATAACAGATGATCGTCAATGGTGTAATATAGTTTTTAAGCCATATTTTTTTGATATCTGGATTATGCTTTATATTGTTAAATTCAATAATACTAGTTGTATATCAGTTTGTTATTTCTAATTAATTTTAATTATAAATAAATCCCCAAGCTAGATTATGTTACCTGTTGATACCTGTCCTTATATCAAGTTTGAATTCCTTTAGAAACCTAAATTTAATAACATTACCTGTATACTAATTTGACAATTGAAATTAATTTTAATTATAGAATGCTCCTTAAGTTAGGTTATATTGTACTGGTTTATCTCTTCTGTATGTTTTTTTATGATATCAAATTCGATATCGTTATTTGTATGCTGGTTTGGTAATTATGACCAATTTCTAATATTTGATTACATCAAATAAAAAAAGTATACCTGATGATACATTCAGTTATATATCATCATTTGCTGACTCGATGCATAGGCTATTATATTTTGATTATCTGAAAATTTGTATTATAATATAATAAAAAATAACTAGCGATTATACTTGTCTATTCGGTTATAAGCCTGGTAAAATTTGTGAAAAAATCAGTATAAAACCTGAGGAATATGGTTATTGGAAAGCTACAAGAAGTGTATCATATAAAGAATGTAATAAACCAACTATTTCAATTTCTGGTCAATGCCTATCGCATATTAGAAGACACTATGATAAACTTCGATTAAATGTTTAAGAACCCGATATAAAACAAGTAACAAAAAAAAAATAATTATATGAATGTTATCTAGTTACGCTATTAGATATATTATATATAAGAGGGTGAGTATATAGCTTTATTTTTTACTATAAATAAATCTCACTTATTACTACTGAGTATGCTATATTCATGCTATCAGATTTTGCTATCAATTAATACTATCAGTATATACTATATTCCTGTTATTGAATATGTTATCAGATTTTATTATCTGAATATGTTATCAAATATGTTATATACATTGCTATTGACTATATTATCTGTTACCAAAAAATCTTTAGTAACAACTTTGGTGACAGAATTTATATCAAATTTATCTTTTAAATATTATTTTATTATGTTCTTTTATACTGTCATCAGAAAATTTTCAAAGGTTTTTAAGAATTTTTAATATAGAAATTTTTAAAATAAAAAAACTCTAAAAATTTTTATTTCAAAAAAATTTTAAATTTCTTCGAAGTAATAATCATTATTTTAAAATAAATAATTATTTAATAAATATTCATTACTTTTACCAAAT